TGCCTGCGGTTTCCTGATCCAGACAGGAACGCACCCTGGTCAAAGTCCACCGTGTATCGCCGTTGCCGTTAATCATAGCCAAGCCCCGTTCCCTTGGAAATTTCTGCAGCAACCAAATATTTACCTTCGGACAAAGCTCCGTTGGGCGGGGAATTCCAGTGCCGAGAGCATCAACTTAAGTTCGTTGGCAAATAAGGCGCCGTTTGTTTTGAACTTCTTTTCGCTTTTTAGATAGCGACGCCGGGAGCGCTTTGAGACAGAATCCACATTCGGTGCCAAAAATTACGCCGTCAAGAGCGCTGCAAAAGTATCGGTGTCTAAGGAGCCGCCGCGGCCACATTAAGCCGCTGTCCTCCACCTCCGACGCACCGCCCGTCTCCGCCGGTACCTCAGGCCAATAGCCGCTGAAACCCCGGTCCGTGCCCTTGTCACCTCTCGGCTGGACGGCTCGGACGCCCTCCTCACCGACCTCCCCTCCACTGCCGTCCACAAAATCCAAACCACCCAGAGCTCTGCCGCCCGCATTCTCACCCGCACCAAACCCCTTCTCCCCCCGACCTCCCCCACCCAGTCCTGGCCCGACCCCCCCACACCCAAACCCCTCTCCCCGACCCCCCCCCCCCCCCAGTCCTGGCCAGACTGCACCGGCTGCCTGTCCCAGAGAGAGGATCCACTCCAAGGTCCTCATCCTCGTATTCAAGTCCCTGCTCTCCTCTGCCCACTCCCCCCCCCCCCCCCACCCCAACCTCTCCGACCTCCTCTCTCCTCACAACGGCGCCCGCTGCCATCGCTCTACCTGGTCTGGCCTCCTCCTCGTCCCCCGAGTCCTCCGGTCCACACTCGCCGGCCGTGCCTTCAGCCCCTACGGCCCGAGGCTCTGGAACTCCTTTCCTCACTACCTTCGCCTCGCCTCCACTCTTCCTCTTTCCAGGTCTTGGCTGAAGAACTTGTTTTTCGACCGCGCCTTCCCTTACTGTGAAGCGCTCCAGGAAGCACTCTTGCCTGTGTGGGGGGGCGCTACGTAAAGCCAAGTTGTTCCTGTTGTTGTTGTGAACCGGCCAGCCTTATTGTGCGCTGCGAATCACTGTGCCACCCTCGTCTTCGCTCGTGCGCACCGAGTTTATTCTTGGGGTATCACTCTCTGGAGAGAGACACTGAACGGGGAAGGCAGCAAAACCTCAATGCGATCGCCCGGAGATTCTTACACCGCGTTAACCGTTGTGGGTTTTTTTTTTTTCCTTTCATTTCGTCTCTCTCTCCTCCCACACTCCCTCGCCCTCCCCTCTCAATCACTCCGTGCCAACTTCGCCCTCCTCCGCTCATTGTTACACCACTTGAGTCCGCGCCAGCTCTTTGAAAAGAGCTGCGTAATTCAATCCCAACCCCCCGCCCCCCCCCCCACCGCGTTCACTCCCCGTAATCCTGCCAACCTGTCCTACCCAAGTAATCATCCACCTTTCTTGAATGTGGTAATCGAATCGGCTCCCATCACCCTTTTGATCCGACCGACTCGCCGCCGATGCGTGTTCCTCTTCTGCCTCTTTCAACAGGTGTTTTAAATCTATTTTTAACCCTCCGGGTACCGATCCCCGCGAGTGCGGACGTAATTTCTCCAGCTGCGCTCCAGCGACTCTCCTCGTGACTTCGGGAGCTCCTTGCCCCGGTCTCTACTTGATCTTCTGTGTCGCAATGAGAGTAATCCCACCTTGTCTGGTAACTCGCTGAAATGATCCCACATCCAGTTGAGTATCTTTTTCCTTTGGTTATCTCTCGTCCCTTCCTCTGACCACCCTGAAACCCCGTGATTTTATGGGTCATCCTTGTCCGCGTGCTGTCCTACTGAAACCTGCTCCACACGTCGCAACTCATCTCCTCGACCCGTGTCCGGCATTGCATCCTGCTGGTTGGGCTGGAAGACGACCGATCCGCTTGGTCATCCTTCGCACGTTTCAGGAACCATTTCCGTCGCTTGACCGTTACCCCGTTATTTTGCCGGTCTACGTGAGGATCATCGAAGCCCCTCGTAACCGCCACTCTGTTGGTTTTTGGGTTCGGCTGAGGTCCGCTCGCAGACTTGCCCGTCTATCTCGTTGTGCTCTGTGGAAAGCATTACACCTTTTGCTGGTTGAACTCCCACAGTAACCTGAGCACCCACACTGGAAATGGTCAGGGAGAGGGGGAGGGAAGGGAGGGGGCGAGGAGCGGGGAAAGGGTCAGGGTGAGGGGAGGGAAGGGAGGGAGCGAGGAGGGGCGAAATGGTCAGGGTGAGGGGAGGGAAGGGAGGGAGCGAGGAGAGATGGTTCTGTCCATTCCCTGTACGAGTGTCTCTCGCTCTGTCTGCGTGCGTCTCTCTCTATCTTTGGGCCTCTGTACCTCTCTCTCTGTGTATATGTGTCTCATCTGACACTTCTTCTCTGTATCTCCATCTTTTTCTTATGTTTGGGGCTTTTATCTCTCTCCATCAAACTCACTTTCTCTCTCTCTATCCATCCGTACGTCCATCCATCCGTCCGTTCGTCAACGGACGAACGGATGGTACGGGCGGATAAGTAGGGGGATAGTAGGTCGGAGAGGTAGGAGGGAGCGAGGCCGCGAATGGCCTTGTAGGTGAGGATGAAGATCTTGAATTGGATCCTCTAGGGGATGGGGAGCCAGTGGAGGCGAGCGAAGGCGAAGGCGAGGGCGAGGGTGGAAGTGATGCGGTCGCGAAGTACTAGTACATTGGATATAGATAAACCTAAAAAAACAAAAAAATTGCATTTAGTAGAAAAGATTTGTCCGCAGACGCACAGTGTAGCATTTCTCCATTCGCAAGTGTCTGCTCGACCCACGATGGTCAACGGAAACCGCACGGCTATTGGTTGTCGCTCCGACGTGCCTGTCCGACAGTCGCACCAGTTACACCAACTGAGAACTACTCTTAACGAAGCAGAATGTTCGATCGAAATTTTTAAAAATTGCATTAGCGCCTACGCTTTCCAATAGTCCAGGAGGTGTCCTGAGGCTGCGGACAGTAGGCGGTCGCCACCCAAGGGCGCATTTGAGCCGTGGGGACAGGCGAATCGATCGTACAAGGGGAAGGTGACCTGAGGTGCGGTCGCAGAGGAAGGTGTTCAGGTGGGAGCCGTACTCCTCGACTCCCGCGAACGTCTTCACTCCTGCGGATCGACATCAAGGTCCTCAATCTCGTGTTCAACCCCTTTCACTCCCTGGGCACCTCCCTATCTCTCCAACCTCCTGATTCGCCAATCCACCACCAGACTCCTGCTGGTCCCTCGCATCTTCTGCCCCAAAATCGGAGGTCGGGCTTTCAGTCGCTACCCCCCAAACCTCTGGAAAACTCCAACTCAATCCATCCGACTTGCCCCCACACCACTCTCCCGTTTTTCCTTTCTTGCCTTGAAAACTTTACTCTTGAACAGTGCTGACGACCCCCTCCGACCACCTCCCCACCACTTCTCGTTTATGCAAATAAAACGCGTTATATCAATAAAACATTTGATTGATTGCACCCGATACAGCGCTTTAAAGGCTTGTTAAGACAACCGCGTCTGCTTGCATTCATAAAGCGCCCCTCGCACACGCTATCGTCCCAGATGCGTTGACGTTGCGCTGCAGAGTTTCGGGACAAATTGGCTGAAAGAGCGGCCGCCGATGGCAAACAGAGGCCCAGCGGGACAGGCAGAAGGACAGAAGCAGTCGAGTGGAGGCAGCCAGTTGCGGCCTTTGGGAAGAAACAAGTCGGAGAGGTAAGTACGTGCCAGGCCACGCAAGGGAATTGGAAAACGGGTGCGAAGATCTCGAAATCAGCCCTTTTCAGTGAAGTGGAGACATTGGAGAAGTGGAATGATGGGAGAGCGATGGGTGAGTGCGCAGTGGGTTTGGGGATGGATCGGTTCCTGCTCACGGGGCCCCACCGGCAATCGAAATGTCGGGTCTGGGAGTGACGGACGCATTCATGGCTGCTTCGGCGGTGTCCGGCATGAGGTACGGTCGGAGGCAGCGTGGTGGGGGTGGAGGAAGACGGTTCTGGCCAATAGTCGGATGTGGGGAGGGAAGTTCAGCCTGATGCCCGGTTTGCACACGGCTTCAGTCAGCCTCAGGGACAGGTGAAGGAGGCTGAGGATGTCAGAGCCCCTAGATAGAAAATGGGAGCCAATTACGATGGCTTCCGCCTTGCCAAGATTAAGTTGCAGGGTACCTTCTCTCGTCCAGGTCCCGGTGCCCGCCAGACAAGCGGAGGGAACATGGGCGGACGTGGAGTCGCATCTGGAGGAGAAGCAGATGTGTTTTCCATCCGCATCGGTTGTGGCTGTCACCCAATCTTTGCTGACGAACTCGCCAGGATGGGGGGATGCGTTTGAGGAAGAACATGGGCCAAATTTGGAGCCCTGGGGTGTGCCACGGTTGACTTCGTGCGGTTGGGCGGAGAAACCGTTCGAGAGGAATGGTGAACAGGATTTTTGGGTAGGAACAGAACGATGCAATTGTCGTCCCACTGGGATGGATGAAGGAGGAGAGGCGGTGGAGGAAGATGGTATAGTCTGCCGCATGTAAGGGTGACAGTCCTGGCGGCTCCAGGAGAAAGGTAGTGACTGATCCGACCACGGTATCCAATGTGGGGGGGGGGGGGGGTAAATAATCGAGATAGAGCACGGATGTGGGTGGATTGGTTCAGCATTGGTTCAGCGAGACGGACTGCGCATTCTTTGGCAGTTTCACGCTCTGAGTGCCCGGTGTGAGTAGGCGCTTCCAGCAGCTAAGCGGGAAAGCCTGCCCAGAGGTCCACTCAAGTGAGGTTTCATCTGGGATTGACGTCGGTCAGTTCCCAACAAGAGTGATCGTGGAACTGAATGGGGGCGGCGAAGACGATGCCGGGTGTCAGTCGCTCACGTGCGGAAGTTGCAGCAAAAAAAAAAACGCGCCGCCAATTCGCTTCGCAGTGCACTTCGTGAATCGCTTTGGGACGTCTCGAGAAGTTGAACCAAACGCAACGATTATTACAATTATTGCCAATATCTTTATTCTCATACCTATGGGCGACATCGACGGGTGAGCAACTGTAGACCGTGACAGAGTGTGGTTAGCGAAGGGGGGGAGAAGAAGAAGGACGGATGAAGCACGAGGGGACGCGTGCGATCGGGCAGAGCAAGGAGGAGAAGCCTTGAGCAGAGACAACGTGGAGACGATGGGGCAGGTAAGAGAGTGAAAGCGGGACGAGCCCCAAAAAACTGCCAAGTGGGAGGGGAGGTGGGCCAGAAACAAAAGAGCGATGGTTTGAAGGTGTGAGGGGGTTGGGGAACCGCAGGCTGGAAGGGGTGCGCGGCAGTGCCAGCGGCAACGGCGGCGGAGGGTGTCCCCTCGGCTGCGGACAGTAGAACACTTGCAACCTCCTTTGCCTTTGGAGTCGGAGGAGGGGACGGGTGGGACGTGGGGATGACGTGGAACGGAGACGGCTACTTGCAGGTCAGAAGGGACAACTGAGCTTATCCTTCGCTGTCACGGAGCTGACGCCATCCAGGTTTCCGTCCCCTCTGCTTGGAGCCTGAAATTGAGATGACAGCACTTCGCTGTAAGAACTTCCATTCCGCTTCCCGCACTCGACTGCGCCGCCGGCCATCTACCCGTCACCCGGTTCCATAACACGATCGGGGGTGGGGGTGGGTTGGGGTGGGGAGGGTGTGGTGGGGGGTCGGGTAGTCGACCGATCTGCACATATTATCTGCAACTCTACGCTGAGCCTCGACCCTTCCATCATCTCTCCATTGTCCACCTGAAGGCATTCCCCTGTGAACCCGCTGTCGCTTAACTACCGAAACGCCCCCCCCCACCCCTATCCTCGACCCTCGCTCGCCCCCGCACGGTCCTCCTCTCCCACCAACCTTCCCCGACTCCTCCCGCTCACTGCCTTCCTCCACTGCCCCAACCTGCGAATGCTCCCTCGGCCCCAGCGCGGGGAGTCGTCGCCGGACTGCCTCAGGGCATCCGCGCTGACTGTCCTACCGCCCGTTCTCGCCGCGAGGCTCACCGGTCCTCAGGTAAGGGGGGGGGGACCTCTCCTCCTTGAGCCACACCCTTCCCGGCCCTGTGACCCCTGTGACTCGGTCCAGGCGATACCTGCCCCCTGACTGAGGCCACACCACCCGGCTGCGCCTTCCATCACGTCCCTCGACCTAACCGCCGTGGTGGCGGGGTGGTCCTCATCTCCCGCTCGCCACCTCAAACCTTCCCCCACCTTTAACGTTGCCGGCGTCACCCTCCTATCCTCCCTCTTCGTTTGCTCCGACCGCCCCCTTCGTCCTCGGCGATTTGGAGCTTCGCGTCACCCGCTCCTGCTCCACCTCTGCTGACTTTTCCTCCCTTACCTCTTCCCTCAATCTCTCCCTCCACGTCCACTCCGCCACACACCCGCGCGTTCAACCTCTCGTTCCGGTGACCGCTCAAGGCCTCGCCGCCTCGGACCTCGCCGTCAACGGCAAAGCGATTTCGGACCATCACTGCGTCTCCCTTAATCCACTCAATCCCTCTCCCCACCGCCACCCAACCGGACCACTGGGAAAAAAATCTCCCGACCCCCCACCCCCGCCGCCCCTCCCCCCGCCCCTACGCCTCCCTCTGGGAGTCCTCTCGCGTTCACTTAAACCTGCTCGGTCACCCTTTCCACAGCTCCCTCTCCTCCACTCTCGGTTGCCTCGCTCCTCCCTCTCTGCCCGAACAGGGAGAACTGGGAGGCTAAGGACAACCTCTTCACCACCACGGACCGGCACCTCCGCCCGCGCTCTGACGCCTCACCCATCCGCCCCTCAAACGTCGACCGCGAGGCGCCGCCGCCGGACTCAAATCCAAAGTCGTGGGGAATAATTTGCCACCGCAACCCCCACCCGCTCCCCATTTCAGCGGCTTTCGGAGAGAGGTACCGGCGGGGACGGGCGATGCGTGGGAAGTGGGAAAAAGCGGGGTGCTGGTCGCGGGGCCGGATGCGGGGGTCGAACCTGACGCCTCGCCTGCGTACGGGTTCGACCCCCACATGCAGTAGCTGAGAATAGTGACTTTAGTCGTCGACGAGAGCCGTAAGCGTATGGCTTGCGTCTTGTCGGCATTCGGTAAGAGGCGTGCGGGGGGGGGGGGGGGCGGTGGGGGCCGAGGATGGATCCTTGGGGTACCGCCCGGGCAACCGAGTGAGAGCGGGAGGAGAAGCCATTCGTGCAGCTGAACCCGCTGGCGGTTCCTGGGGTGGGACTGGAACCCGGCGGGTGCGGTCCCACTGAAAGGCGCTGTTACCCACGTAATTGCGCGCTGCTCACCCTCTCCCTCTGCGCTCACGCACCCCCCCCCCCCCCCCCCATCCACCCCACCAACTGCGTGTGCAGCCCCGCGCTCGCTCGCCCGCCCGCCCCTCTGCGCTCGGTCCCCCCTCGCGTGCTCACCCCCTCTGCTCACCCCTCCGTGCGCTCACACCTGCTTGACCACCCCACCCCATCCACCCCGTGCTCGTTCTGACCATCTCGCCCCGGCGCTCCGCTCACCCGCCCCTTGCGCACGCCCCTACCACTACGTTTTCCTGACCCCCCCCCCCCCCCCCCGGGTCCACGTTGCTGTGCTGACCGCCTCCCCCACCCCACAAACCCCGTTCGCTCCCCAACCGCGCTCACCCCCTATGTGCCCCCCACCACACCACCCCACCCCGTGTAGTCAATCCCCTTGTCGTCACCCCAGCTTTCGCTCACGCATCCCACCTGTGCTCAACCCCCTTGGGCTCGGCTCCCCCCCACCCCACCCTCACCACCACCCCACTGACATTACTCCCACGTGGGCTCAACACTTGAAGCCACCCACCTTGTTCTCACCCCCCAACCCCCACCCCCACCCACCCCAACTGGCTTCACTCCCTCTTGCGCTCTCCACCCACTGCTCAACCCATTCTTTACTCACCCGCCCCTCTCTCTAACCTCTCCTCACCCCGCGGTGCGCGCCTGACGCCTGCGCTCTCAACGCCCCCCGTGTGCGCACCGCACCCTTTCGCTCGCTCCTATCCCTCCTATTCCCTCACTCTTCCCTCATGTGCTTACATCAGCCCCCCAAACCCACACCGCCACCAACCCCCCAGTTCTTACGTCCTGTGCTCCACTCCTGTGCGCCACGATGTGCCCACTCCTCCCCCACGGGCTCAACGTCCCCGTTTCTCACCCCCGTGTGTTCAACACCCATTGCACAACTCACCAACCATTGCTCTCCCGACTACCCCTGTATTCAGCCCCACTCTACTCACCCGCCTCTTCCTCGCCCGCTTTACTCCCCCTTACCTGTGCCTCCCCTTCCCTGCGCTCCCACTTCCCTGTGCTCATCCTCCGTGTGTTCAGCCCCTGTGCTCAAACCCTGGGCTCAACCCCCATTGCGCTCTCCCCCATCTTGTGCTCAACCCCCATTGCGCTCTCCCCCATCTTGTGCTCAACCCCATTGCGCTCTGCCCCATCTTGTGCTCAACCCCATTGCACTCACCCCATCTTGTGCTGAACCCCCATTGCGCTCACCCCATCTTGTGCTCAACCCCCATTGCGCTCACCCCATCTTGTGCTGAACCCCCATTGCGCTCCCCCCCCCCCCCCCCCCCCCCCATGCCCACCCCATTTGCTGCCCCTCCACACCCCCATTGCGTTCACCCCATCTTGTGCTCAACCCCCATTGCGCTCACCCCATCTTGTGCTCAACCCCCATTGTGCCGCCCTGCTCCCCATCTTGTGCTCAACCCCTTTCGCTCTGCCCCATCTTGTGCTCAACCCCTATTGCGCTCACCCCATCTTGTGCTCAACCCCATTGCGCTCACCCCATCTTGTGCTCAACCCCCATTGTGCTCACCCCATCTTCTGCTCAACCCCCATTTCCCTCACCCCATCTTGTGCTCAAAGCCCCATTGTGCTCACCCCATCTTGTGCTGAACCCCCATTGTGCTCACCCCATCTTGTTCTCAACCGCCATTGCGCTCACAACCCTGTGCTCACCACCATGCGAATCATTGTGCTCAAGCCCCTGGGGTTCATCCCACTACGCTCACGCATCCTGTACCCATCTCCACCTTGTCGTCACCCCTCCCTGGTCTCAGCCTTCCCACGCTCCACGCCTCCCATGCTGATCCCACCGCGTTCACCCCACCCTTGTTAGCACCCCGCCACCCCACCGTGCACACACTGATTGGTTTCAGGCGCTGTATCTCCCAACCCCCAATTCCCGCCCCAGCCCCGTGCTCAACGCGCCTTTGCTCCGCAGTCCTGTGATCACCGCCACTCCGTGCGCCCACAACCTGTGCATAACCACAGTACTGACTCACTGTGCTCATCCTCCCTGTATTCATTCCGTTTTACACCACCATGTGCTCAAGGCCTGAGCTCAATCACACTGTCCTCATCCCCCTGTCCTATCCCACCGTGCGCTCACTTACTGTGCTCAATCCCCCTGTAATAACCCTCTGTGCTTCCCCGCCATATGCTAAGACCCTGTAGTCACCCCTGTGCTGCCCCACCACGTTCTAACCCACCGAGCTCAACACCCCCACCTCCCTGTGCGCACCCACTCTGCATTCACCCCGCGCCCCGACCCACGCACTCACCCGCTTGTGCCCACCCATTGCGCTCAAAGCCCCTGCGCTTACCACCCCACCCGGGCAACTTCTCTCGTAGCTTCTCGAGCCGCCGCTTACCCGAAACGCGAGAACTAAAAAAAAAACACAATCAGAGAAGGAACCTATTTACCTAAGCAGATGACGCCGGCGTCGTAGGCGTGCGAGGCCCAGGATTTCAAGGAGTAGTCGCCCCAGGGCGCTGAGGGGCAATCCCTCAGAGCCGACTCTCTCCCAGTGCACCGAACGCCGTGGGTCATGATGTAGCCTACGCCGCCGCCAAAGTGAGAGCTTTCCGGCGCTAACAGGGGGATTCCGCAGCCCAACTCCTTGCACACCACGGCCGCCGCCTTCATGTTCCAGGTCCGACAGCCGAAGCGCTCATAGGAGTTCACTGTGCCCCATGCTTGGCTGTGGTAAACCTCCACTCGTCCGGCACACCGGCGGCCCCCGTCCACCAGCCTCACGTTCAGAATTCCTGCAAAACACCGCACAGAGTATTAACAATAATAATAATAATAATAATGATAATACTGGCATTCGATACAGCGCTTTCCACGTCGGGAGAGGACGTCCCGAAGCGCTTCACAGAACGCACCGTAAAGCGAATGGACTGTGTGTATATTTGTGGGCGAACGCGGCGGCCGACGGCGCGCAGCGACGTCCCCGCAGACAGTCGTCTATGGATTGAAAACGACCGATTTATTATGGTTTGGGGTTTTTTTTTTTGGAGGGGTTATTGTTAGGGCCGTGTGCGGGGTCAGGAAACTCGCCCGAGGTTTGGCCCTGACCCGCCGGGGATCGCACCCGGGTCTCTCGCCGGCCAAGCGAGCGCTCGCACCGCCGAGCGACAGGACGTTACGTTTGATTACTATGTTATATTATTAAAATTTATTGTATTATTGTACTTCATGTGGTCATACTTTATATTAGACAGTTATGGTTCGTATCACATCACTATATTTTACATTGTTATACGTCGCATCAGCTTATTATACTCCGTATGACGGTAGGAGATACCCCCCCAAGCCCCCCCCCCCCCCCCACGAAAGAAAATGGTCAGGATGAAGGGAGGGAAGGGAGGGAGTGAGGAGTGGGGGAGATGGTTAGTCTGAGGGGAGGGAAGGGAGGGAGCGAGGAAGGGGGGAGATGGTCAGGGTGAGGGGAGGAGGGAAAGGAGGGAGCGAGGAGGGGGGAGACGGTTAGGGGGAGGGGAGGGAAGGGAGGGAGGGAGGAGGGGGGAGATGGTCAGGGTGAGGGGAGGGAAGGGAGGGAGCGAGGAGGCGGAGAGATGGTCGGGGTGACGGGAGGGAAAGGAGGGAGCGAGGAGGGGGGAGACGGTTAGGGGGAGGGGAGGGAAGGGAGGGAGGGAGGATGGGGTAGGGAGTCGAGAGCGGAGCTGAAGGCTGAAGGTCAAAGAGAAAGGTTTTGAGACACGGCATTGAAGGATGAAAGGGAGGAAGCGGCGAAGGCACTGAGGATGGAATTCCAGAGCCTCGGGACTGAGAGGCTGAAGGCCACCGATGGTAGGGCGGTCGGGGCGGGGGGTGCGGAGCGGACCGGAGCCGGTGGGGGGACAGTAGGTCGCAGAATTGGGAGGGACCGAGGTCGGGAATGGCCCTGTAGGCGAGGATGAGGGTCTTGAATTGGATCCTCTGGGGGATGGGGAGCCGGCGAGGGCGAGCGAGGGCGAGGGCCAGTGTGAGCTACAGCACCGCCCCAGAGAGACCATCCCCACCTCCCAGAGCACAGCCCCATTCCCCAGGATATACAACCCCACCCACAAAGGTATCGCCACAACCCAAACGGCACGTCCCCCTCCCTCCAAGGCACAGATCCACAGAACAACGAAGCCAGTGATGGTGTCGGGGCGAGGGGAGGCAGAGAGGGGGGAGGGAGACCAAAGGCAACGATCGAAGAGAAGCGTCTTGAGACCGGCCGTGAAGGGGGCGAGGGAGGAAGCGAGAGGCGAAGGGACCCTGGGATGGAGATCCAGGTTGTGGGGGCAAAGAGGGACACGGAGCAGGCGATGAACGGAGGGGGCGGGCAGGTTGGTGGGGAGTCAGCAGGTCGGCCATGGATGGCCTCGACGGTGAGGACGAGGACCGCGGACTCCATCCTCTGGGGGATGGGGAGCCCAAACCCAGGGCACAGCCTCACTGGGTAAAGCACGCCCCAGGGAGAGCCAAGTCCCTGTAAAAACGCCTCCCCGAGGCCCAAGCGTACCCCCACCCACGGCCAAGCCTTCCCACGCACACCGCCACAACTCCCCCCTCTCGCCCGAGGGTAAGGTCCCCAACCCGGGCACAGCCGCCCCACGAGGAACACCCAACCCGCACGACCCCACACACTCATACACGACAAACCCAGGGCACAGCTGCGTCCGCCACAGGGCACGGCCTCATGACCGGCACTTCCCCACCCAGGGCTCAGAGCACCCGGGCCCACCCCCCCCCCACCCCACGGTACAACACCCCCATAGTGCCCAGCCCTTCATCCGCAGGGCCAAACCCCTCCCAAGGGCAAATCCCATCGGCCACGAATTCCGAAGGGTACAGTCCCTCTCCCAACACAGCCCCACCCATCGGGCACAGCTCACCCAGGACACAATCACTCCCCCACCCCCCCAGGGAACAGGCCCTGACCCAGAGTATTGGCCTTCACCCAGGTTACAGCCCCACCTCCCCCAGTGCCCAGCTCCCACCTTCCCAGTGCACAATCCCACGCCAGACCCAGCCCGCTCCGGGCCCGGACACCTCCCGCAGGCACAAGCCCAACCCCACGTCAAAGACCAGCGCGGACAAACCCCGGTCCGGCAGCCCTGACCACCAAGGCCCGGACCCACCCAAACGTAGACTGTCCCAGGAGCCGCCCACCGGCCCCAAACCCAAAGCCACCACCGGAACAGACCCTCCGCCCAAGGAGCAAACCCCGCATCACAGGAGCAGCCCCGCCCCAGGTCACAGCCCCGCCCAAGGGCACAGACACCCACAGGGCATAATGATTGCCCCCAGGGCACAGCTCCTTTACCCCAGGTTACAAACACCCCAGGCACCACTGTTCCACTGCCGAGGCACAGGCGGACGGAACAAAAATCATAGACCCACCCAAGGCTCAGCCCGCCTCGGGGGAACGGCGCCCAAAGGGCAGACCCCGCCTGACGCAGCCACTCCCCATAGGCGCCACCACCGCCCCGGTGCATGGCCCCCACCAAAGGGACACACCCCGGTGCCGGTGCGTAAAACCGCAGGTCACAACCTCTCCGCCACAGGGCACAGCGACCCCCCTCCCATCCCGCCACCCCCCCGCTCCGCCCTCCCCCCCCCTCATGCACAGCTCCCCCCGCTTCTGGCCGCGAGATTGGGTCACTCACCTGCGCACTGCGGCGTCTTCCGCTCCAGAAATATCACTGCACGAGGGAAGAAAAAACAAGGTCACTCCACGCCCACCGGCCCCGAACCCGAAGCCACCACCGGCACAGACCCTCCGCCCCAGGGACAACCCCCCCCCCCCCCCCCCCATCACGGGCACAGCCCACGCCAAAGGGCACAACCACGCCAAGGTCACGCGGTCAATAATCTGATCTCTCCCGCCATCAACGGTCAGTCCTCAACGAGAGGTCGGCCATTTAAGGTCATCTTCCAAAAAAAAAGAGGCCCCATTGGGTGGCGGGGGAAGGGGCACGAGCACAGGCTCGAAGGGGGGAGAGAGAGAGAGAGAGAGAGAGAGAGAGGGACGGGAGTGGGGTCAGTGAGCTCTCTCCTTTCTGCCGCGCTCTCCTCTCCTCCCCTCTCTCCTCTCCTCCCTCTCCTCTCCCCCTTCTCTCCTCTCCCCACTCTCCCCTGTCCTCCCTTGTCCTCCCCTCGCTGCTCTCCTCCCCTCTCCCCTTTCCGCCGCGCTCTCCTCTCCTCCCCTCTCTCCTCTCCTCCCTCTCCTCTCCCCCATCTCTCCTCACCCCACTCTCCCCTGTCCTCCCTGTCCTCCCCTCGCTGCACTCCTCCCCTCTCCCCTTTCCGCCGCTCCCTCCTCTCCTCCCCTCTCCTCCCCTCTCCTCACTCGCCTCTCTCCTCTCCCCCTTCTCTCCTCTCCGCACTGCCCCCCTCTTCCCTGTCCTCCCCTCGTTGCTCTCCTCACCTCTCCCCTTTCGGCCGCTCTCTCCTCTCCTCCTCTCTCTCCTCTCCTCCCCTCTCCTCCCTCGCCTCTCTCCTCTCCCCACTCTCCCCTCTGCCCCCCCTCTCCCCTGTTCTCCCGTCCCTGCTCTCCTCCCCTCTCCCTTCTCCTCCCCTCTCTCCACTCCTCCCCTCTCCGCTCCTTCTCTTTCTCTTCTCCTCCATTCTCCCTCTCCCCTCTGCGCCCCTTCTGTCCTCTCCTCCCCTCTCTTCTCCCCACTCCCCTCTCCTCCCCCCACTACTCCATCCCCTCTCCTCCCCTCTCTCTCCTCTCTCATTTTCCCTCTTTCCTTTCCGCCCCACTCTTCGCCCCTCTCCTCTCACCCCCTCTCTCTTATTCCCCCTCTCTCTTCTATCCTCCCCTTTCTGCTCTCCCCCCTCTCTCCTCGACTCCCCTCTCTCCTCTCGCTCCTCTCTCTCCCTCTCTCCTCTCCTCCGTTCTCTCCTTTTTCCCTCGCTCCTCTCCTCTGTCTGTTCCCGTCTCTCCACTCCCAACCCTCTCCCCTCTGTCCTCTCCCTCCTCTTCTCTCTCCTCTCTCCCCTCCACCTTCTCCTCTTCTTCATTCCACTCTCTCCTCTCCTCTCCCCCTTTCCATCTCTTCTCCCTCCTCCACCATCTCTGCTCTCTATTCTCCCCTCTCTCTCTCTCTCTCTCTCCTCTCCCATTTCCTCACTCTCCGCCCCTCTCTTCTGTCCTACGCCCTCTCTCCTCTTCTCTTTCCTCTCTCTCTCTCTCTCTCTCTCTCTCTCTCTCCCCTCTCCCCTCGCACTCTCACCCTCCGTCTCTCCGACCGGGAAAGCGACAACAAATTGCAGTGACTTCCACGATCTCCGCCTCACGGGCCCGACCCGCGGGCGATGGACGGCCAGGGGATCTGACCCAGGAGGGCGAGAGGTGCGGAGTGTGAGATAGAGACGGAGAGGGTGAGCCGCGCAGCGCAGCGCCGCGCAGCGCCTGACGCGGAGAGGGATGGACGGCGACAGCGCGAGAGACTCGGTTCTTCCCGCCGAGAGGTCACAGAGATAATAACAACAATAATAATAATAATAATAATAATCGTTGCATTTGATGCAGCGCATTTTCACGTCGGGAGAGGACGTCCCGAAGCGCTTCGCAGAAGACGCTGCAAAGCGAATGGACTGCGCATCTCTGGGCGGCCGATGGCGCACAGCGACGTCCCCACCGGCCGTCGTGGGGTTGAAAACGGCCGATTTATTGGGCGTTTTTGGGAGGGATTGCTGTTAGGGCCGAGTGCGGAGTGAGGAGACTCGCCCGAGGATCCCTTTTCGCAGCTCAGGCTACGTCCACTCTCTGGTTACCTCTCTCCCGCTTCTCGCCGCTCGTTTTTAGTCGTTTTTTTTTTCCCTTCTCGTTTTGTTCCCTTTCCACCAAATGGAGTGGCGGCCGAGGTGAGGGTTGGCGCCCCGGTCGGGTTCAGGGTCGGCGTCGGGTTTACGGTCAGGTTTTAGGATCGGGGGGGGGCGGGGTTAAGGGTGAGGGCAGGTTCTGGGCGAGGGTCGGTCTCAGGGTTAGAGTTGGGGGGTCGCGATGAGCGGCCAAGAGGTTTCCGGTGGTCAGAAGGCGGCTCCGGGGGGAGGCTCCGGGTCACGAGAGATCCAAGTCCGGGACATCCCGCGCGACGTTCCGCGCGACGTTCATCGGAACCGCTGTCACGGTCGTCAGTATCGGGGGAAGAGAGAAAAAGTGAGTCTCGGAGTGTGAGTGTGTGAGGGTGTGTGTGTGTGTCACAGGGCAGTGGGCATTCGGGGGACCGCAGAGCTCGGCGACCGCGGCAGAAGCTTCCTCCGGAGATCCCCTCCGCCGGGTTGACCTGCCAAGTCCGCGGAGCGCCCGCCAGCCCGACCACCCTCGGCGCCGACGGAAGACGCCGCCGGTCCGCGATCCTCGCCGCCGGCTCCTGCTCGCCCTCCAAAAAATGAAGCCATTTTTGGTTGTCCTGGTCGGTGAGTCTCGCCTCTTCGTCCGCATCTTCCCTCCGCCCTCCGTGGGCTCCGCAGCGCGGTTGGCCCCGTCCAAGCATTGGTCGCTCCCAGGCCAGTCGTGCCTCCCCACCAGTCGCGCTCCCCAAATTCCTCCAAGTTGACGAAGCGGTACGGGGGTGGGGGTGGGGAACGCCAGGGTCAGGATCTTAGCTGGAGTTAGACGGGCAGATCAGCCACGACTGAACGGCGGGGCAACGGCTCGAAGGGCCGACCGGCCACGACCGATGGGCTGTTGCAGAGTCTCGAGGTCCTGCTCGTTAGACCCCCCCCCCGAATGAGTGTTGGAGGAGGCGGGAGAGAGGAAAGGATAGGAGTCGCAGCAAGACA